AACAACTCTAATTTGAATAGGGAGGTCCCCAGGCTGGGTGCTGGCCTTGGTAGAAAGGAATTTGACCAGACACAGCCACGTCCAGAGAAGTCAGTCACGGCAGGGAAGAGCAGGCAGACAATGACCAGTCCAGGCAGGTTAAATCCCAAGTGGAGGGGTCAGACAAGAGAATACAAGACCCTAGAATAACTGACAGGGAGGCCAAGGGTTAGGGCCCTCGGAGGGTGATTGACGCTGGGGCACCAGCTCTGGGGATGGATCCATAGGAAAGGGCAGGTGAGGGTAGGAGGCGGGCAGGGCAGTGCACAAAGCACTCCTGGCCCGAACCAGGGATTTATGGGGAAAAAGTGTAAGTCTTTGGGAGAGTATAAGCCACATGTGAACTTGGTCTTGTCACTTACCCCATTACCTCATTCAGCCACACAAAAGTTAGATGGCCTGAAAGGCACATGGGTGCTCAAAAGAGAGGCAAAGGATAGGAAGAAGAAAGTTGTTCCTCAGGCTGGAATGAAGAGCAAATGGCAAAACTATAACCAAAAGAAAATGAGACTCTCCTCAGCTCCCCAGAAGTGGTGTTGGAAAGCTGTTTGAATTAGAACTCATGATTGTTAAAATGCAAATCTAGTAATAGTGAGAGTAGGAATAACAACAGGTTACATGTATAAAGTGCTCACTATGTGTTTGTTACATGCATTAATGTATTCGATCTTTACAATAATCTTATGAGATAGGCACTTTTATTATCTCCATTTCACAGTGAGGAAACTGACACAGAGAGCATAAATAACTTGCCCCAGGCCACACGATATGAAAGGGCAATCTGGACTCTAATCCAAGCTGTCTAGCATAGAGTTTGTACTAACGACTAAGATTAAGTTGTTTCTCACAATGAGGAATTACCTTTGAAGCTGCAGAATGAGCTGAAGCACAAATGAAAATGCACAAAGACTTTTTAATCATCCAATACTTCTTTTATTTATTCAGTAAATGTATTCATTCAACAAATCTTAACTGAGCATCTACTACATGCCAGACCCTTTTCTATATGCTGAAGACAGGTGGGGCCACACACATCTGAAAGAGTAAACGCACTGTATGACCCAGAGTTAGGTGGCTTTATTATGAGGCTTTTGTAGGCCCACACCTTTGGAACCCATGCTTTTTCACTCAAATGAACTATAATTACATCTCTGATGAAGAGTTTCCAAAATGTTATAATTAACACATTGCACTGGATGGCCTCTGAGGCTCACCTCTAGGATCAAGGAGCCCGGGCAGAGCAGAGAAGAGCCAATGCTGGGCTCAGGCACAGAGCATGGCAGCCACGCTCACCCTGGCAGCAGCAGTAGCCAGGCGGCCGGGGAATGCCACAGGACACAGCTGCAGGAATAACATAGCGATCTCTGGCATTGACCATCTCTCCCAGAGACATTCAAGGAACAGCCCGGACTTGTGCTGCCCTCCAGCCTCTACACAACATGGGGATTGTGTTTCTGCTTAGAAGGCACCAGGAGACCACAAGCAGAGGAAATGCAGGTTCAGGCAGGCCCGGGAGTGGGATGCCCCATGAACTCGTGATTTTAAGATGAGATGCTGAGTGGGCCCCCCAGGGTTAGGAAAAGAGCTGGGATCCTCAGGAAGGGAAGAGGTTCCTTCTGTCCCAGGAATGCCCCCTGGGCCCCTTGCCAGACTTTTGGCTCTAGCTGGGCCTCAAGAAATATCAGGCGGGATTTATCACTATTTATAATAACTGGCACATGACTGAGGGCAGAACTGAAACTCAGATGGCCAAGTGACCGGAAGTGTCTTTAAGAGAGAAGGAAGGGATTTGGGTGAAGAAAGGGGGTGTCAGAAGGAGAAACATGCAGGTACTTACAGTGTGATTTCGGCACATTCTCCCATGGCCCCACCCCCACCCCCTGGTTGCGCCAAACCTCTAGATGGATCCTGCCTCAGATACCAGCACTTGCTCCGGGGTACAAATACCATCCAAAGTCTTCCTGTGTTAGGCAATCTCTCAGACCCTGACCCCCCCAGCTGTAGAAAAAACCGCCTTCCCTACAAAAAGTGCTTTGAATTTAATTTTTTACTTTCTCTCAACCTGAAACATTTCAGTATCTACCTACCCCTACTGTGTGGCCTAGTGCTTCAAACTCCCAATTAAAGAACAGTACAAATAGCTACCTGGATTTGGACTTAACCCCTTCACCTTCCTCAGTTCCACTGAAGGAGTAAGGTTAAAGGTGCTAAACCAAAATATCCAAAAATTAGAGTGAAGCCAAAATCCACCTGATGACTAATTTGAACTGACCCTTTGGATGCAAGACTAACTTTCTGTTCCCTAAGAATCCTCAGCCTAACGGCTTCTTTCCCACAGCTGGCTTTAGGGAAATGGAACCAATAGTCTCGATTTTGGCTAAAAACCACTGTTCAAAGGAGTTCTAATATGCTCTCAACTCTGAATGAATAAGTAAGATTTTTATAGGGTAAAATAGATCCTGGATTTTAATGCAAAACTAAAATGGAAAAGCGAGTTCAAATCTGAGTCTGTCATAATCTTACTTGCCTTGACGAGTTAGGGAAAATAAAAAACATTCTACAAAAGAAAAACCAGAGGAAAATTTAAAAAACAAGACAATCACCGACAAAACTAGAAAGCAGAGGAGGCTAGATTGGAGGGGCTGGTCACATGCACTAGTGTCACACCCTGTCCCTGGGTTGCCTCCCAATGCGGTGCACAACCCAAGTCAACACGCTGCCCTGTCCAAACTCACCCATTCTGTGCCCCAGGACGATCAAGCATATTTCAAAGTGATTATGAACTAGAGACATTGGAATTGTAATCAGAGATGCTTAGAGAACTAATACTTGAAATAAATAAAGGATTGGTCCTCAAATATAATTTTGGACAGCTGGGGAGATATTTTAAGACAATTACCCCCAAGTTTTAATCTCCTGTGATGCAAGTCTAATGACTCCCTTCACTGGGCTTTAGCATTGTTTTCTCCACTGTAAATTAATCTGCTGACCAAGGACATAAAGCAAGTGCCATCTGTGTTCCCAATACTGTGGGGAAATGTCTCTGAAACCTACAACTCTCTGTGGTGGCTACAATGCACAGAGGTAGATGGAACCAGTTTCAAAGGGTTCTTGGAGCAAGATGAAGGACATTTGCAGAGAAACTTGTGAGCCGCTTGCAAAATTTCAGCGCGGGGCAATTTTATTATCTTTAATTTACCAACCTAGAAATGGGTTTGTATAACCGAAGTTCTTAGCGGTGGCTTCTCAGCAGGCAACCGCAGCAGCTGGTACACAACCAACCCACTGTCCGCCTGGAGTGGACTGTTATGTCCAAGTTCTAACCTTTGAAAAACTCGATCTGTAACGACTGAAGCCTAACCTGCCTGCTCTGCCTGGGGTGCTCCAAGGAGAATGAATGGACTTTCCACAGCCAAACCAGTAGTCCTAGTCCTGAGCCAGAAAGCAGTGGCTGTTAGAGGTTAGAGAGAAAGGAAAAGAGAAGGCAACAGTGCCTTCATTATACTATTAAACCATAATCACCTTTTCCTATAAGCATCTTCCTGTTTTCCCTAAAGGGGCCCTGTTTAACAGCCGCTGGGGCAGAGGTGCCAACTCAGCAGAGAGCACTTCCTGTGGGTCTGGGAGGCGGGGGAGTTCAGCAGGCTGCCACATGCCCACTGACCCAGGCGGCAGCAGGCTGTGAAGGGGCCACCATCCTGCCAGCGCTCGGGGTGGAGGCTCAGGGACTGAGGCTCCTGGATTAAGGGGTGATGTTTATTTCCCTGTCTTAGGGTCAGGACTAGGCTGAGGCAAGAGAGGTTCTAGGGCACAAGATTGGAGGTTTTTCACTCTCAGGGTCACGCAAGAAGCCATTTTACCCCAGTCCCAGATTACTACTGAGCGTGTTCCCTCCTGTTTCACCCTTAACTAGACAGCTCAGAGCTGGCCCTTCAAAGATACCATGTCATATGGCCCATCATTAGAATATTCTAAGACTGAGATTCCCTTCTGTGAAAAATGGGCAGGACATCATCCACCTGTGAGGGTCAAAGAAGCTGAAGTTTGCAAAGCCCCAAACAGAAGCCTGGGGCAGAGGACACTTTGATGACAGTTCCTACGTTTCTAACCAGGGGTCTGGGCTCCACCCTTCCCCAGGGAGCCAGCCTGGAAGACTGGAGGCCCAAGAACAATTGAAAAGGGAAGGAGGTTAGCAATTCTCCTTTCTGCTGCAGTGTTTTTTTTTTTAATGGAGGCTCTTTCCCAGTCCAAATGGCCTGGCGCTCCAACCTTCTAAAGGGGGGAGAAGGGACACCCAGTGCCTGTTGCTGGACACTGGAAAACTATTTATTTTTACTAAATGAAGGGTAAGAAGATACATCTGTAGACCCCACATTTACACTTTGTCACTGGAACCCAAATGGTATGTAGTGGTGAGACCACAACCGACACCTGCCAGCTCAGTGACCTCAGGTCCAAAGTCATGGACTTGGTTTCCTCTTTGCCAAGTGCTGACTTACAAATACAACAGGAGTATGAGGATAAAGTCATGCCACAGAACACGGAGGTCCCTTCACAGAACTAGGGAACCACTCCTGCAGCATGGGAAGAGAATGCTGTATCTGACTTTCCCAGCTCACAAGGGTGTCTACCAAAGACCATGATGACCTTACCAGGGGCACGCAGACTATGGGTGACAATCATTAGCTGTGACCCCTTCTCCCTTCCATTATGGAGTGCTGAGGGGAGGGGCAAAGTCTTAGAGCTTCTACCCTCAGGCCAGGTAAACAAAGGATGCCCCGCCCCACCCCCCACCTCTTCTTTGGCCATCCTTACAGCACAGCTGAGGTTTGGAAGAAGGATCCGTGAAGCACACGTTTCGTCCCAGGGGAATTTAAACTCCAAGATAGCATTACCCCAGTGAAAGAGCCGACCTGCAGGAACCAAGTTCACCGTGGCACCAGTACACTGAGTCTCCTTACCTTCCTCATTTAAAATCCACGGCAGGGACGCAGACACAGAGTCGAAGCCACAGGTATTCTCTTCAAAGGCGCAGGAGCCAGCGGGCTGGTCCAAGGCACCGGCAAGCTGCAGGGCTGCGGGCACAAAGTGAGTTTCAGTTCGGGGCTCGGGCCCGGGAGCGTCTGCACTAACTCGGGGCGCCCCTGGGAAACTACCTGGTGAAAGTGAGGAGAAGGCGTGCAGGACGGTGCCGGTGAGGGACGCACTAAGGTACCCTCCCCTCCCCAATCCCACCTCCAGGGCGCTTCCATTGCGGGAAGCCGCCGCGCACCCCATCACCACCCCATGCTTGGCTTGGGGAGCGAGAATAGCGGCTGTGGAGTCGGATCGGGAGGCGCCCTCGCAGAGCTCAGCCCGAGATTGAGAGCCAGGCCACGGGAATATCAAGAGAGAGAGAGAGGGAGGGTCACGAGAGCTCTCCCCACCCCTCCCGAACAAACACCGCGTCCAGGCCTTACCTTTCACTGCCAGGAGGATGCCCCCTAACAGCATGGTCGCTCTTCAGGGCGGAGGACCGGAAAGGGGCGCAAGCTGCCAGCCCGCTGGGACCAGCTGCTTCCAATGGAAGGAGCGTGGGAGGCGGGGGCACCGGGGACCCGGGGAGAGAGAAGTCAGTCGAGAGGCAAAGCGTGCACTTGGAGCTGCTCAACTTTGCAAAGCGGCTCCGGAGCTGAGCGGAAAACTGAAGGTGCCTAAATGGAGAGCGCCTCTGGCTCAGCTGCAGCCGCGGGTCTGACCGCGTCCCTCAGGAGGCTGGCCAGCCGCACAGCTGGTCCTTGACGAGGATGGGGCTGGGCGGGGAGGAGACAACTACACACTTTTTTTTTTGAAAGGCTAGCCTGGAGTGGCTGGGAAAGGCGAGGTCGGGATGCAGTGCCTCCGCTCAGGATTTTAAAGCTTGGGACCAGACCCCTTGCAGACACTTGGAGGGGGCTGGCCCATGAGTGGTGGGAACCAGCTTATTTCTGGGGACAGCCTTTCCGCATCTGGCATGCCAGTCCTGCAGGGCTGGCCCTAATTTTAACTTCTTCCCCCCCCCAAAATGGAAGAGGGTGGAATTCTCCTAGGAAATCTAGAGGAAATTTTGGAAACTGTAGGGTGGAATAAGCATCCTATCTCATGAGTTTCAGCGTCTGTGGCCCAGTAAGGCTAACCTTGAAATACCACCCCCCATTTTTAGCAGTGGAATGTCTGGCATGCCTGGTGCTCAGCCTTCCCTCTGTCCAGTGAAATGGGGGCATTCCTCCTCTCCAGAGAGCCATGATAAATTATCAGAAGGTTTCTAAATTGGGATGTGGGGTATGGGGTTGGTGATATGGGGGAAGGGTTTACTGTGAGGTACCCACGTGCTACAAGTTTGCTTTGAGCACTAAGTGGGTCTTTAAAATTGTTCTCTCCTGGTTAAAAAGAAAAAAGTGTGGTTTTTTTTTTTCCTTCCCAATCTGCATTATCATGTTGTGCAGGCAATTTTATGCCTAGAATGGTGCTTCTCAAACTTGAGGGCACCATGAGAATCCCCCAGAAACACCATCGGAGTTTCTGATCCAGTAGAACTGGGGTGGGGCCCCGGGTTCTGCATATTCCTAAACGTTTCCAGCTGCTGATGCTGATGCTGCTAGTCTGCAACCACACTTGGGGGACCGCTGGCCTAACAAACTCCTGTTCAACCACCAAAGCCCTTCTCCCATGCCATCACCGGATTTCCAGACTCTCCCTGGGGTTTCTTGTCCTTCACTGGTAGCTGCTTCTCAGTCTCCTTGGCTGTTTCTTGTTATCTCTCTGACCCCCAAACACTGCAGTGCATTCCAGTTCTGTCCTTTTATCTCCTGTTTCTTTCCTTACTCACTTCCTCAGTGATTTCCTCCATTCTTATAGTTTGAAACATCGACAGTCCAATGGCTCCTAAATTTGTATTTGTAGCCCAGGATGCTCGCTGCTCACTAACCCCACACTTTTCTCACTGCCGCCTTAACATTTCCGTTTGGATGCTTAAGAGCTGTTTCTTAGCAGGGTTGTCCAATCTTTTGGCATCTCTGCGCCACACTGGAAGGGTTGTCTTGGGCCACACATTAAATACACAAACACTAATGAAAACTGGTGAGCAAAAAAAAGGTTTAAGTACATTTACAATTTTGTGTTGGGCCACATTCACAGCCACGCTGGGCAGCATGCGGCCTGCGGGCTGCATGTTGGACGCTCCTGTGTGGGTCCCAACACCAACACCTCCTGTCCCTTCCCAAGCCTGCCTTCCTCTGCATCTCCCTCTTCTTAGATAAAGCAAACTTTCTCCTTCAGTTGCTCAGGAAAAAAACAAAAAACAAAAAAACAAAACAAAACACCTTAACTATCCTTGACTCTTCTCTTCTTCACAAGACATTGCCAAATTCTGTCAGTTCAGGGTTCAGAGGGCGGCAGGCGCTGACCATGCTCCTCGCCCCAGCATGACTGCCCCGATTGAAACGGTCACTCTTGCCAGTCGGGGTTACTGCAGCGGCCTCCCAGGGCTGGCTCCCAGCATCTCTGCCTTGCCCGCCTCCACCCCGTCCCTAACACAGTGACCAGGAGATCCTGTTCATACAGAAACTTGGCCATGTCACCTCAGGGCTCAAGACTCCTAAGAACTTCCCAAATTACTGAGCAAAATCCAACACTTCACAATGTCCTACCCGTCCTACAAGACCTGTCCCCACCCCCTTACATCTCTAACCTCATCTGCTCTGCTTAGTCCCATCTAGCTACACGTACCTCATGGCGAGTCATATGCAAAGTCTAGCTGGCCTCTCAGAACGTTACACTGGCTGTTTCCTCTGCTTGAAGTGCTCTTCCCGGGGGTGAAGGGCGACTCACACACCCACTGTCTTCAGACCTTTATTCAAATGTTGCCTTCAGTGTAAGAAAACTCAACAGTGTTCTCCCTAATAAGGAACAAATAAACAAAAAAAACCCTGGGATCCTTTTAAAATTTTCAGTTCAGAAAATTTTCATGAGTTTTCTGTAAGCAATGACTCAAATGACCTAAAATTTGTCTCGTGTGCATGTATTCATTTGCTTTGCCTCAGTCAGTAGCAAATTTATCATATTTAGTATTATACATGTTTTCTATAGAGAATCTCGTTTAATTTTTCTGGGTCTTTATGGGGTGGATATCATTTACCGTCATTTGGTAGACAGGGAAACTGAGGTGCAGAGTTCAGTGACAGCAAGTGGTAGACACAAGACTCAAACCCAATCTGCTTTATTCCAAAAGCCTATTTTCTCAATCAGAACAGTAGACTATCTCCCTTATCTTACATTCGTTTGACTTCTTGCTCACATGTGGTGCTAAATATCTGATGAATTTCATCAAATTTCTTAAAAATTCAAAGACAGACATAAATTCAGTTAAAATCTCCAAATATTTTTAAGCAAACAAGCTTTCAGCAACTAACGAATTGGTGCTCCTTTTTTCCAGCCACCTACAGAGTATTTCATAGTTTCAGGATTGCCTTAGATTCATTTGCATGCGATTCATTCCCTCAGATTCGTTGGGAAAATGAAAAATTTCAAAGCCCTAAGAGCTCTCCAAAACTTTTAAGATATGATTGAAAACTTCAAGGCAACATCATTTATGGTCACCTGTGGGAAACAGAATCATTACACATAAGTACTAAGCTGGAGTAAGATTTTGATTTCACCTACAATAGCATGATCCCAAGAACAGATGATCCTTTGACATTGGCGCAGGTCGGGCTCTCTGGAAAGCAGACCGTGGCCTGCAGTTTATCGTGCAGGATGTTGAGCAGGGGGTGCCCTTGGGATCAACTCCTGTGGAAGGGACAGGGAGGAAGAAGGATTGGGTCAAGGGAGAAGTGACATGGTCCCCTCAAAGCCTCTCCTGACCCCGCAGGGAACTCTGGGGCTAAATGGACCCATCTGACTTGTTCTACATTAGACTGAAATGACAGGATTCTACATGCTGCTGCTTTTGTCCTTCAATAGACGTGGCCCACATTAGGACAGGTCATCTCCAACAAGGTGGCTCTCTGCACGGAGGCGGATGCAAAGGGGCTGACAGCTAAAGGTTGTTTGATGACAATACTCCTGGCAGCTGGGACAAGTTCTCTGTTGAAGGAGGACCTGAACAGCACATCAGTGTCCACCGCAGACATTTTGCAGAGAAAGGAAAGGATATTGCACACAGAGAGGGCCAAATAGGGAATCCAGAAAAATCTACAAATTACGTCACTAATCACCGGGCCACAGCCTTACACAGCCCTACACAGCCTTATCACCTGGGAAAACAGCACCAGGCCCCAAGGTAGGAACCACCAGGACTCTCTTCTCCAGGATCTAGCTAAATAGATGATCAAATAATGCATGTGTGGGTCCAGTTTATAGAAAGCACTCAAGAAAGTTAGGTATTACAATGTGCTGAATGATAGCACCGCAAAAAGGTATGTCTACAGCCTAGAACTTGTGAATGTGAACTTATTTGGAAAAAGGGTCTACGTAGAGGTAATTAAGTTAGGGATCTTGAGATGAGATCATCCTGGGTTACAGGATGGGCCCTAAACAATGGCAAGTATCCTTATCAGAGGCAGAGGAGAAGTAAGAGATGCAGGAAAGATGGAGACAGAGACTGGAGTGACACAGCCCCAGCCAAGGAATGTCTGGATGGAACCAGCTGATGCTTCCAGGTCAAAGAACAGCCTCTCCTCTGCAGCTCTAGAGTGGTGTAGCCCTGCAGACACCTTGATTTGGGACCTCTGGCTTCCAGAGCTGTGAGAGAATAACTTCCTGTTGTTTTACATCACCCAGTCTGTGGTAATCTGTCCTGGCAGCCAGCCATAGGAAGCTAATGTGGAGTATCATGCGTCAAGCAAACACGTGCCAGGCACTTTACATGTGTTATCTCATTCAGGGGATACATCATCCCTGGGAGGCAGATACCATCGTTATTTCTATTTTACAGATGAGGAAACAGTCCCAGAACGTCAGTTTACTTGTTCAAGGTCACATGTGTAGCCAGTATGTGGCCAGAATTTGATCACATATACTACACTGCCCCTAAAATCTTCCTCATTACAAAGCCCTGTCTCTCTTTACAAGGACTGCCTATATACCACCCCATGCAAGCAAAGTTACCGGCTGTCTCTGTGGGCACCTACACGAGGCTTGCCTCTCGCAGAGCCTGGCCCGTCCCTGTGCTCTTTGGCCCTCTGCTCTGCATCCTGCTTCCCTTAGGAGCCCTTGACCAGGGGTCCTACCTTTTGTTGCAACCTCTCTCGATCTGCAGATCTCCAAATTGTTGCTCCTAATTTTCTGGGCGAAAGAAAGGAAGACAAAATGCTGATGCCCTTTGCAGGAGCCTGCGTCATGCTCTGTTCACTTCCCCTCCCACAGCCAGGTGAGGCATTAGCGAGAACAGCTTGACTGTGGGAAGAAATAAAGAAACCGAGTGTTTACAACGCACCCTGGCACATATCACTGTTGCTAGGCCAGACTCAGAGGCTGGCTTCCCCATCCACTTTCCTTTCAGTTCTCTCATTCTCCTTTCTTGTCATTCTCATGTGGTGCCATGTATTGGGAAGTTCGGCAAACATTTCCTGAGCACCTCCTCTGCGTCAGCCACAG